GAGGGTTGGGCACAAACGAGAGCTTCAACCATTATTTTCTTCACTGCAAATAAAACATTTCTCCATTTTTGTACACCTTACAAGCAATATCCGAAAAATAGCCAGAGAATAATAAAATAACAGTAGATGTAAGATTCACTTTAAGCATCCGAACCATTATAAAAATCTCTTTTGTCCATCTTTTATTTATGTTTCATCAAACATTTATCATCTTAGCATTATAAATACTTCTCATGAATCATTCACGTATAATTTCTAAGATTTTCTTAGCACTTTGCACATGCGAGGCCATTGTTGTCAAATTCACTCATCAATATACATAATTTGTTGTTTTGGTTGGCAACTATAGAGTTGATTGATGAGATATGAATGATTATATATATGTGAGATTTCATGAACATTTGAACTGTAGGAGTTGTTATTTGAACTGCACAAGATTCAGGGAACTGCATCAGTCGAGCTCGCAAGCGAGCTACTCGGGCTCGCTTGAACTGTCTACAAGCCTGAGTTTGATGTCAAGCTCAAGCTCCAGTTTACTCAGCTTGGTGATAAATTTATCCATCATAAATGGCTCTTGTTTTACACAAACATTCTCCTAAATATATACGGTCCCAATTAATTTTTTTCAATAAAATGTCTAAAATTTCCATGTTGTCTCATTCACGTGTTAATAGAAATTATATCATATATAAATACAAAAAATTATTAAAACAAAATCCAAAATGAACAACATAAAAATTTTAAAATATCCAATTTTTTACATTTTTATTATATATATAATTCATTTTTTATAATATTTGAATAGAGTAATGATACACCTACAACCTCTTTTCACAAACTTTCTCTCACAACCTTGACATGATAGTTCTCAATTGGCTAGCCGTAATATATCAAGTGGGATCCATTATGAGCTGACTAATTATAAGTTATCACGTCGAGGTTGTGAAAGAAAACATGTGAGAAAAGATTATCGTTGTAGGATTTTTCTTTTGAATAACATAGTATTGATATATATATAAAATTCATTTTTTATAATATTTGAATAGAGTAATAATACACCCACAACCTCTTTTCACAAACTTTATCTCACAACCTTGACGTGATAGTTCTCAATTGGCTAGCCGTAATCTATCAAGTGGGATCCATTATGAGCTGACTAATTATAAGTTATCACGTCGAGGTTGTAAAAGAAAACATGTGAGAAAAGATTATCGTTGTAGGATTTTTCTTTTGAATAACATAGTATTGATATTATGTTATTGGACTAGACTGTTTATAGTCCATGATATTGGTGGTAATTATAAATAACCCAACAAATTTGGTGTAATCCAAAAAAGTTTGGGCCTCTCAGCCCAATCATGTCAAATTGGGACGAAATAGGCCCAAGTCAAGGCCCAGAAACGGCCGTCGTGGGTGGCGGGACGAGCGAAACCGAAACTTAAGGCCAGTTACAAGGGTGGCATTCTCATTTCTAATTCTAAGTGCTTGTTTTGTAGTAACAGAGNGTATTTTACTGTTTAACTTTTTTGGGAATACTAAAAGTAGTATTCCCAAAATCCAACCAAACGAAGCCAATACTATTTAATGAAATAGGATAGGATTATGAGAATGCGTTTTGGAAAATATTTTCTGAAAATATTTAGATTCTTTTTTAACTCTTGCATTTGTTAATTTAACTAAATACCCCCCACAATAAAAGTTTATAAATTAACAAAAACACCTCGACTTACCCAACTATTGCCCGCAGCCGGCCACCACCGCCGGATGGTGGTCGAAAGTTGTCGAAATAGCGTACAATCGGCTAGATCTGGCCAACCATGTGCCGATATGACTTTTTCTGGCCAAAGATCTAGCCATTGACGGTCAGATCAAACGCCTTAGATCTGGTCATTTTCGCCAAGATCCATAGTGGATCTAGCCGAAAACGGACAAATTGATGCACGACTAGCTAGATCCAGTCGATCATGCATCGTTACAGTGCCAGCGTCAACTGGTGGCAGCGACAACGGCGACAATTGCTAGCTGGTGATAGTGGCTTAGGTGGGTGGGGGCATTTTTGTTAATTTTAAATTTTTTATTGAGAAATGTAATTGTTAAATGTTTTGAGTTGAATAAAATTGAACTAGATTTTGGGTTAAATAGAAAAATAATTATTTCATTTTCTTAGGATAGGATAGAGAAAAATAGTGTGCCAAACGCACCCATCCACATAAATTAAGTTTGATAACAATAGAGTGTACCAAAATTTCAAATCAACAAAGTATAAAAATTAAGTTAGCTGGATTGTCGATTCTTCTCATATATTGATGGAACACACATTTTGTTCATATTATTCAACAAGGAATGATAAATTCGTTGTGTAAAAAATACACACTAATGTCAGCATCATCAATCAAAGTTCAACAAGCACTTAAAGTAAGATGGTATTAGTTTTCAAAAAATTCAAACCGCCTCCAAGAGATATTTTATCAATCCTCTCCCATTTTGATAAGGATGTGGTCCCCACGTGTCAAGACAACTTGAAAAGCACTCATTAATGACCTTAAAGGTATAAATAGCATCTCTCCTCGTGAAAATGAGAAGTTTGGCATATGAGAGCTGGGCATAGATTTGAGCTTCATTATTTTTCTCTATAAAACAAACATTTCTCCATTTTGTATGTTTACAAGCATACATAAAAATAGTCAGGAAATAATAAAATAACAGTAGATGTAGGATTCGCTTTAAACATCCGAACCACTATAAAATCCCACTTGTCCATTTTATTTATGTTTCACAAACATATATCATCTCAGCATCATAAACACTTCTCATGAATCATCACGTGTAATTTTTAAGAACAACTTAACATTTTACACGTGGAGTTATTAGTGTCAAAATCAGCATCAACATAATTCATCAATCATAAAGGCTCTTGTTTTTACACAAAAATGGTCCTAAATATATATGGTCTCAATGTTCACGGTTATTAGAAATGCACAATTATCAATACAAAAATTTATCAAGCAAAAACCAAAATAACGACATAAAAATTATATATATAGAATATATACTTTTGTTGTATATTCAACAAGGACAATGATTCATCCATCATAAAGGTCTTGTTTTACACAAAGGTCCTAAATATAGATGGTCCCAATTATTCACGGTTAGAAATTAGACAATTATGAATACAAAAATTTATCAAAGCAAAAACCAAATGAACAATGTGAAAATTTATATATTGATGAATATACATTTGTTCATATTATAACGTAATATATCATCCTCTATCTTTTAATGTATAACGTAAACTAAACAAAGGTGTAACTGTTTCTTTGCTTTGGATTTTATTTGCCTTCAAAGTATTGCTTTTTTGTTCTTATATCAGAAGCTGTGTTGTGTGATGACAAAATTTTGAAATATTATTTAATTTATATTATAGATATCTCTGGTTTGTTTTTTTATGTTTGATCTTGTTTGTGTTGATGTTGTGTGCCAAAAATACACATTATATCAGCAACCAATTAGAGCTTAAAGGCATCAAAGACAAAATGGTATTAGCTGTCAAAACTAAACTGCCTCAAAGAGATATTTTATATCAATCCTATCTCATTTGAAGATAAGGATTAAGGAGTGGTTCTCACGTTCAAGGTAACTTGCAAAAACATCATTATTGACCTCAAAAGTATAAATGGGTGCTCTCTTCATGAAAGAGGGGGCTAGGCATATAGGGGTTGCATATGAGAGTTGGGCATAAAGAGAGCTTCAACCATTATTTTTCTCTGTAAATAGAGCATTTCTCCATTTTTGTACACCTTACAGGCAATATCAGAAAAATAGCCAGAAAATAATAAATAACAGTGGATGTAGGATTCGCTTTAAGTGTCAGAACCACTATAAAAATCTCTCTTGTCAATTATTATTTAGTTTCTACAAACATATATAATCTCTGCACCGTAATCAACTCCATAATCATTCACGTGTAATTTTAAGACTTCTTAACACTTTGCACTGTGAGGTCGTTGGTGTCAAAATCACTCATTAACAGATGTAGTCTTTGTTTTGGTTGGCAACTATAGAGTTGATTGATGAGATAGAATAATTATATATGGGAGATTTCATGAACATTTGAATTGCACAAGATCAGGGAACTGCATTAGTCGAGCTCGCGATCGAGTTGCTCAGGCTCGCTGAACTGTCTACAAGCCTGAGTTGATTTCGAGCTCAAGCTCCAGTTTACTCAACAGAGCTCAAGCTTGAGCTTTACATTTCAATTGAGTCAAGCTCGAGCCAGCCAATACTCAACTCGGCTCGGCTCAATTGCGCCCTAATTATTCAACAAGGAATGATAAATTATCCATCATAAATAGCTCTTGTTTTACACAAAATTGTCCTAAATATATATGGTCCCAAATAATTTTTTTCAATAAAATGTCTAAAATTTCCATGTTGTCTCGTTCAGTGTTATTAGAAATTATCACAATATAAATACAAAAATTTATAAAACAAAATCCAAAATGAACAACAAAAAAATTTAAAATATCCAATTTTTTACATTTTTAATAATATAAAATTCATTTTTATAATATTTGAATAGAATAATGTACATGCACAACCTCTTTTCACAAATTTTCTTCACAACCTAGAGTGGCAGTTCGTACTGGCTACCGTAATTTATCAAGTAGATCATTAAAGCTGACCAATTATGAGTTGTCACATCGAGGTTGTGAGAGAAAGTTTGTGAGAAAAGATTATAGGTGTAAGATTTTTCATTTGAATAACATGGTATTAAATATGTTATGGACTAGACTGTTTATAATCATGATATTGGAGGGGTAATTTCAAATAACCCAACAAATTTGGTGTAATCGAAAAAAGTTTGGGCCTCTCAGCCCAATCATGTCAATTGGGACGAAAAGGCCCAAGTCAAGGCCCAGAATCTGCGCGTGTCGTGGGTGGCGGACGAGCGAAACCGAAGCTTAAGGCCAGTTACAAAGTGGCATTTCATTTCTAATTCTAAGTGCTGTTTTGTAGTAACAGAGACAAGACTGGTGATAAAGAGAGTTTCAAAACCCTAGAAATCTCTTGAGAATGTCAGCCACTGACGGTGCTTGCAATGGCTCAGACCTCAGAAAGAGGTAATTTTAAAGTTAAACGTAATTTAGTGATCTTTCTTTGTGTTTATGTGATTCAGTTCAGAGTTGCTGAACGAGTGTAACGAAGTGAATTGGTTTTTTTTTCTTCTTCTTGTAAATTAGAGTTCATATTAGCCATTTATATTAATTCAGAATGTACCTACAAGGTTGTATTTGGAAGTAATTTTAGTTAATTTTGTTTGTTTCATTTGAGTGCATTGAGACTATAACAAATGCTACTAGTATGTATCATGGATTCTGGTTTTTGACTTGAGTTATTGCTTGAGATTTAAAATTTTTGGTTTTGTTTCAATACACTCGATGTGAGGATTGTATGTTTGCCCATTGTAGTGGTGAGACGTGGCATTGGCAAGGGGAGGAATTTCGTCTTCGAAAAGATGCGGGTTACTGTGAGTTTAGGCCCCTATTCCCAGTTTTTTCAAAAGGCAAATATGTTAATTAAACTAGTGGCTTGGCCAAAAAAAAAAAAAAAAAAAAAAAAAATTTAGGATAAGACAGAGAGCAGTGATGTTTGAGTTGGTGCTATTATTTTGAGCAGAGATGTCAGGTTGTCAATGGAGTGAAGTGACTTTGAATGCAGAAGATGTTTCTTACATGCTTGATGATGAAACGACCCCTGTTAAGGCGTGTGAGGATTTGGCTTACTATGCTACTCATTGTGGTAGGGGTTTTTTTCACAGCATTCTTTGACTTAATTTGTTTTTTCATTTGGTTGAAAGATCAAGTTGTTGGAATATATCTATTTCAATTGAAAAATGTATTTCAGGTAATATGAATAAGAAACCAATAGAATATAGGGAGTCTTCTTCGCAAGTAAAGAGGCGGCGGATGCTACAGTTTGACAATCAAGTAGTAGACTCTTCTTTGTGCGGCAATGAGATGCCTTCTGCAATCCTAAAATCAATTGTCAGTGCTGGACACTCTGTATTGCATTATGTCCTTTTGTAATATAGTTCATTTTGAACATTTGATATGGACTAAATGCTATATCCAGTATGAAAATACGAAATGAATTATGCCATCAATATTGCCCATATTCATGTTCTTCATTTAATGTTTAGGAGAGAGGGGAACCAGTTGAATAGGTTTTACCTGAAGCATCACAGTGGATTTCTGGGTTTTCAGGTTTGTTGCAAGATCTGTTTTGGTGCAAATATGAATTCAAATGCTTATTTTTTTTTTCTAATCGTATTGTAACATATGTCAGGAGATGTGTCTGCCTCGGGTTATGAGAACCTGGATGAGTCATTTGATGGGTGGTTTACCCAATCCTTTAACGATGCTGAGACAAATATCAGCTCTGCTAATATGTATGCTTCTTCGCTTTTCAGTTTGATGGCCATTCCACTATAATCTGATTGCTTTGTCAGGTGAGACTCAGGAACTTCTCTGGAGCATCAAATGTACAAATTCAGGTTCCAGGTGCATGAGATTTTACTATAATCTGATTGCTCTGTCATATGAGCCATTCCTTTCTATTTTGTTTCTACATGTTCGTGTGCTTACAAAAGTGTTTGACCATTGTAGAGTTCAGCAATTCGCCACCTACATGTGATGCTAATGCAGTTCAACAATGTGTGACTCAAACTCCTGGAAATGATGTTTTTAAAGGTATTCCTCCCTTCTAAATTTCTCTTTGTTGTTTGTTTCCGGAGGGAAGGGAATCTTCTTTTTGTTACACAATAATCTTCTCTCTTTCTAATTCACACAAAGGCATTGTTCAATAACTCAATAACAGACTATTAAGGACATTTTTGTGGATGGGACACACAATATGACATTAGTATTTTTTGCGATACCATAGTCCTCATCTCGGGTATTTTATATGGGTTGTCCTGTCCCACAAATTAGTCGCGTATATGTGGTACAAGTCCATGGGGAGCTAGCTACTGGTCTCTCTGTACCATATGCTTGGAATTACGATTTATTGACTCAATTGTATCTGATATATATAATTATATTTCTGACTCTTTTCTAATTGCTTTAGGCAGAAAATCTTTCATACGGACCCCTACTAAATTAGCTTCTTCAGTTGCCTATCCATTTGCCTTCATAAAACCATGTGGAGTCCATGGAGATGTTACTCTGAAGGACATAAACCAGCGAATCCACACACCACCATCAAATTCAAAGCAAAATATTGAAGATCCCTCTGCCTACCCAACTTCAGCATTTTCTGGGAAGCCTGTCGTTGGCAAAACAAAAATTCAAACTGAAGGAGGAAAAGGCAGCATCACAATTATGAGAACCAAAGGATGAGTAGATAAGTTTTCTTCCAAAATTCAAGCATATAAATTAACATCGAAAATTCTATTTTTGAAGTAACTCGGGGATTTCGTTAAGTCACAGCACAGTGTTTATGTTTCCCAGTTGTGTTTTATTATTGTATTTAAGGTCTCTTGTAGCTCTTCATCTGACCTGACCTTGCTTGTAGACTCCAATGTAACCATGATGCTGCTTTTATTCTCAGAATGTAAACAAAGTAACCAATGCCAAAATTTTCAACACCGGTCCAACAAGAGTGGAATGACCCCATATCATGTAGGAACCATTGGATTCTCGTGAAGGCGAGCAAGTAGCTACAAACAACTACAACCATATCACTCATATCAGACATTCTTTTAGGCTATAGCTGAATTAATATATGGACAATATCAGCTTTTGTAGTACCTGGTTATCAGCTGCCCTAGAAAATGTGAGCACAAATGGGGAAAACCAATGAAAAAACTTTAACAGATGGCTTTAAGCCAAATTCAGAAACACTGCTGCTTAAAGAAGCCAATGTGTTCTTACCTTGCTCTCTGTACCAGCTCCCACAATAGTTCGCCGGTGCTCATGTTGAAAGCCCCGGGATAACATATTAAATCGGCACCTAACATTCACACAAGTAATTCAGCCTCATAAATATGTCAGCATAGTTTGTTACAAACCGGAGTTTTATAACTAACAAAAAACCTTTTGCTCTGTATAGCATTGCGAGTTCTGGGAAGCGTATATCATGACAAATTCCTACTCCAATACAGCCCATTTCTGCATTCGACAAGTGAAAACGTGTCGGTTCCTTACTATTTTGAACAATGGGATACTGAAAATGCAAGAGATGCATATGTAATGTAGAAGGAAGAACATGGAAAAGAGATGAGATGTAGCATAACTTGATTAGCGTAAAGCACAAAGTCCTCTGAGCAAGCCTGCAGAAAATGCAAGATTCACCATAATTTAACAACTAAATTTTTTATGTGACCAAATGCAAACCTGTATCTACCATGGTTGGTCTATCTCCTGCAGTGAAAATATCAGATTCTTTGAAAGAAATATCCCCTGGGATGTCAATATCAAACAAATGGACCTGCAAAACAAGACCAATCTTAGTTAATTCTTTCAAATGTTTAACCTTCTATATCTTCCTTTTTATAATTTTCCTGAGATTCACCATCAACATCAATGAAATCAAAACCATATCGAATAATTTAGACCAACTTACTTTCCTATGCTTAGCTTTCAGCTTTCCATCTGCTCCAGAAACACAGCAAGTATTAAACAACTTACCACTGTCGCATTCAGGCATGGAGCCACCAACAATGGTGATCCCAAGGCTCAAAGCAGCCTCTGATAAGATTGAAAATGACGGCGAAGCATCCTCTTCCTCAAAATTCTCAGCATATTTCGCAAAGTAATCATTTGAATAAGGACAATTCCACATTTCCTGTTGTATAAAAAACATAACCAACATGAACTAGGCATACATAGCTGGAATCACTCAAGTACTTGGTGGTTAATAATTAACTCACAGGTAACACAACAAGCCTTGCCCCTTTCTCTGCAGCAAATTTAATTGAATTATGAGCATGGATTAGGTTTTGATTTTTGTCTACACTAACTGATAACTGGCAGAGTCCAATCTTGAACTGTTCACATACAGAACAAAATTTATCAACTCAGATAACTTTCTAAAACACACAACAGAACAAGTAATTTTTCATGCACAATTGACAGATCTCTTGTTATCATAAGATAGTGATAGGTAATTAATAAAAAGGAAACAAATCTCAACCAAAAATGCTCATCAATGTAAAAGGGTCATAAGATCTATAAAAATTAAAAGAGTTCAAAACAAGAGAAGATCTTAATTTGGAAAGCAAACCTTTGAAATGGTGGGCAGCTCCAATGGCTGAAGTGCAGTAAAGCTGAAGTTTCCTCTGGTGTTTGCCATCTCACGCTCACACACACAACTAGCCAAAGTTGGAATTACCCTTTATATTTATAAATAATCAAAACCACTCTTTAGTGGCATCTTCAAATAAAAATACAGGATAAGGTTAATGGGTCCAAGAGCTTTTGGAATCTGAAGTATATTTATTATATATATTGGTTTATACTTTACACTGTTCTAGAGATTCACGCAAAACCATTCAATTTAATTAATATCGTTGCCTTCTTTTGATCGTTCTAGGGCAAATATAAAATAGGATTTTAAGTCTAACAAATGACCTTAGATTGTCAGATTGGCCATTTACAGACTGTTTGTTTTAATTTGAACTTCAAGCCAAAATATGTCCACATTAGTATGAGTCGTACAAGTTGGCTTAATTTGTCCATTTCCTTACCAACACTCTGTAGATTCTACAAGGAATTAAACTTTAGTATCTATTAGAATCTTCGCCTTTGGATAACCAGGTGATTCAATTAATCCAAAACGGCGGCCATGAGATTCCATTCTACAGCACATAAAATCATCCCANTTTGGAATCTGAAGTATATTTATTATATATATTGGTTTATACTTTACACTGTTCTAGAGATTCACGCAAAACCATTCAATTTAATTAATATCGTTGCCTTCTTTTGATCGTTCTAGGGCAAATATAAAATAGGATTTTAAATCTAACAAATGACCTTAGATTGTCAGATTGGCCATTTACAGACTGTTTGTTTTAATTTGAACTTCAAGCCAAAATATGTCCACATTAGTATGAGTTGTAGAAGTTGGCTTAATTTGTCCATTTCCTTACCAACACTCTGTAGATTCTACAAGGAATTAAACTTTAGTATCTATTAGAATCTTCGCCTTTGGATAACCAGGTGATTCAATTAATCCAAAACGGCGGCCATGAGATTCCATTCTACAGCACATAAAATCATCTCATCCCACTTGAGTTTTTCCTTCATGCCGGCAGCTTTAATCTTAATCCCTTGCAACTTCTTCTATATCAACACTTTGTAAATTACACCCAACAGATTATTCAAATCACCTCTTGATCAATCCAAAACATGCCCATCTTTTGTTATGGCATTCTCCTGGTGGGATGTATAGCCATTGCCATTATTGTTTACACTTTAGTAATGTTCGGATGGTGTGGTTTCAACTCCGGGCTGCCTCCTCCGAGAACTTCAGGTTCAGCCACGGCGGAAGGGGAGGAACAGAAGAGCCTGTACATTCAGAGTCCGTATATAGCTTCTTCATTCAGGTACAGTAAAAGGATTCTGGAGACTCCTGAAGCTGCGGGGTCAAAAGAACCAGCTGAAGATGAATGTGTTGTGTGCTTGACGGGTTTTGCGGAAGGGGAATTTGTTTGCCAGCTTCCTCGTTGCAGGCACTCGTTTCACTCCCCTTGTATTGATATGTGGCTCTACTCTCATTCCGATTGCCCTCTGTGTCGTGCTTCGGTCGATCGAGTCGATTCCAGGAGGAACTCGTTATCATTTACAGAAGAAAGTTCTAGGGAGGTCTTGCTGAATATTGGCTTCTTGCCTTGACCTCTAGCTATGTATTGGGTGCAACTATGCCAGCTCTAATGCATCGGATCCTATCAGAATTTCAGGATTCTGAAACTGAACTGTGTTAATTAACTGAATAAAGACATCTACAGGAACTGAGGAATATATGTACGGGAATCCAATGATCCCATTGTGATATTTCCACATAATGTGAAACATGTTTTAATTTGATGGGATAGTTTGAAAGACTAAAGGAAGTCTGAAAAACAAAAGAGAGTCTACCGAATTTTCAAATCAACAGCCTTGTCTACTGTCCACATATATCTATGGCAAAAGATAATCCGATAGAATATCTATATAATTTATTCCTATGCTTCAACAAGGAATGATAAACTCACCCTGGTAACTCAAGTAGTGGGAGGAGTGTTGGAATGTAGGGTTAAGGCACGCGGTAATCCCTCTAACTCTCAGGATTTAAGCAGTGGAATGTCGTGTTAATCATCTATATAGATTAATATGTTGAAGTTTGAATTCTTTTTGTAGAAGAGAATGACATGAAGAAGAAGAGCAATAAAGAAGGTATGACCAAATTCAGTTTTAGATAAAATAGAATTGCAGTTATTTTTAAATTATGAATTTGAATTTCCCTTTTCGGTATAATTATTTAGATTTATTCTTTTAAAACTATCAAAAGGAGAATGTATTATATATCGATCGAAGAAAATGAATAGATAATGTTTTCTTCTTCTTCCATAGTTATAACATAATCGAAGTACACGCAAGCTGACCAGACACTAATATATATATAATTCGAACTCCCACTTATACAAAACTATTAAGCATAATAATTAGTATAACATGATCATCAAACACGAGGAGAAAATTGAAAAAACTAGATTCAAGATTATTCAAAAACAAAACCGTCCATGAACAAGAACAAGAGACGGTATTTTTTTTAATCTGCTGAAAACTTAGGCAACCCAACAGACTTATTAGCTGCTGGATTAAGCTTATTATAATTTATTTCCATACATAGATATTAAGGTGGAATTTATAGCTCAGAATCATCAAAAGGTCCCCAGACCAGTGGTTTTGCTTTGGCTTTAACTTCAACTTCAACTTCAACTTCAAATAAATAGGAGAGGGGCACACTAAGAACCTCTGGTCCTCCACTCCACATAATGTCAGCCAATTGAGAGTAGACAGCTTCAGTGGTATGGCCACCATCAAAGTACACATATTCACTCGGGTTAAAGCACAGTTCATAAACCTGAGTTAATGATCCACACCCACTTCCACGATGAGATCCCGTACCACAGCATGCCACGTCCCCATACTTGAACCCTTCATTTTTAACATCAAAAACCCTAGTCACCATTAAATGACAGAATGTAGTAGAGACAAAAGCTGAGTAGAACTAGAACGCATATGCATGAATGGAAGAAGCTAGAAATTGTTGGTTAAGATCGAGGAATCAACGTATCACATTATCTTTATGTATTCATTTAATAAAACCTCACTATATAACGCATATATGATTATGTTCTTGAGTTTTTAAAAGTCTTATCATACAAATATATTAGGTAAAGATCATATCAAGAGAAGATTCCAATTACAGATGATATGATAGATCTATTTTAATAAGATTTTTTCTTATTCTGGTTAAATGAACTTACAGAGAACGTGAAAAGTCTATTTTAATGAAAATTTTTCTAATCCTGCTTAGATAAACTTATAGAGGACAAAATGTATTAATTTGAGTAAGAATTGGTCTGATTCTGATTAGATGAACTTACCAAAGACGCGATAGCCTTATTGTGATAAGAATTATAATTTTTTAATGGAAAATGGATATGGTTATTATAGTTAACTAACCATATGTTGTGGGATCTTTGATCCTGTTCCCAACTGCGGTGAAGAAATCAAAGGCTGAGAATACAAATCCTGGCCAAGAATTTTCGCTAGTTAAGGTTTTAAGTTTCTTGACTAAAGCATTGTTGTGAAGAATCGCCAATGTTAATGGTAACCCGGCGCATGCTTCATCAATCACATCTGACGTCTGTTTCGACATTGGCACACAACCGAGCGGTCCAACATTTTGAAACATAAATTTCCTTCCTCCTCCGTTATATATTTCCTGCAACCAAACCCAAAAAAAAAAAAAAAAAAAATCAGCTGAAAATTTGATAATTAACCAACAAAATACTGCACCAGTATAATATATAATCTTACCTGGATACCCTGGAAGATCGTTTCAATCACTTTGTCTACGTATTCTTGTTGTTCTGGTATAGTATCATTAGAGTTTGAATTGGAATGTCTGAAGTAATCGTTGCCACCAATGGAAATCAAATAAACCGCTTTTCCAAGTCTCCTCTTGGCTTCATCTATGCCAAGTATGTTCGTCCAGTTTACTACTAACTCCTTGAACAGTTGGACCTGTTTCCCAAAAATCATCTGAAAGGAAAAGGCTCCATTACCAAGTCATCAACTTAAACCATGAGTTTGATTGCAACGAAAAACTATATATATACAGAATGATGAGAAATGTTTTCGGCGAAGACAATATTTTGCGTACCGTATTTGTGACATTAACGGTAGCAGTTGCTCCAGCGGAAGCAAAATTTGCGCCATGAGTGAAATCTGCTCCAGGTTTCAGAATTGGTGGCATGAATGGTAAGTTCAACTTCGATGCTGCAGTCAAATGAAACATGGAGAGTTCATTAAGCCTATATCACTTGCTTGGAACATATTTACTAACAAAATCTTATTACATATTTATATTTACTTCTAATTAAATTGTTTTTAAAATATATTTATATGAGGTAATATTATTAGACTCTTGCACATTTATATTCATGACATGTATAGTGTTTTTCAACAAACATTCAATTATATATGCACCAAATTAAACTACAATATTCTTACCAATAAAATCAGGAGCCAAACGGCCATCAGAATATCTCCCAGTTGGCTGAAGAGGGAAATAGGTCCTGCCATAGGGGAGGTGAAAAGCAGGAATATAACGATTTGGTGAAATGTATTGATTATTTCCAGCATCAAAAAGTGAATCCCCCAAGATGAAGAAGTAATTCTCAGCACCATTGCAGCTAAATGGAAACACAAAGGTGACAGTAACACACAAACTTATCATCACATAAAGCAAATTATAACTTGGACTTGCCATAGTTTTCAATAGTATTATCTTATAGAGCTACTTTGTATTGTGCTTTTTCAGGCTCCTCTCACTTTTTATTTATACTAAAAGGGTTGGGAAAAATCAGGCACCAATGCAGATGCATGATAATCGTGGTTAAATGTCCACCGTTCGATGCATGGTCCCAGCTTAATTAAATCCTATGTATAACCTATAAAGATCACATGCATGCACAATTAGGTTGACGTTGAAGCTACATGCAGTACGAGTACGAGTGCATGCGATTGTGAATAAAACGAAAGTAGAATGCATAAGTGAGAGTTATTAATATGTTTTTATGCTTATTGTTTGCTATTAAGTTTTGAATTATTTTCTTTCCCATTTAATGCACTTTGTCACTAGTTGGATGCAATCTTTTTTCGGTGACTAAGGTTCTCCAGTTGTCTATTTCAGTTTGTGCACACGTCGATTAATACTCTGAAACCCTGAAGTTAATGAATAGGTAAACCTTCAGTGGCCAATCTTTTAGCAATCGAGGTGAATTGAACTCAGAACATCTTAAGTAATACACCCAAGAGTCTTAGTTAACCACTCGATCACCCAGTAGTTGTTAGTCTCTCATTAATCTTTATTTGGATAAAAATCCTTTATCAACTTTTATCCGAAACAAATAAAGGATTCCTGATTAGTAGATATAGAAGAAAACTATTATTGATAACCACAAATAAATGAAGATGCATAAATGTTATGAGATCATTAAAAGCTCAGAAAAACTGAATTCAAGAGAGGATCTTTATTATTTTATTCAGACTATAGTTAAAACAAAAACAAAAACAAAACAAAAAAAAAAAAAAAAGAGTTATTAACTCTAATAATTAAAAAAATAAATGGTGTTTGTTGTAATTTTTAGAATAGAATTCTATAATAGAATACTATTTAATGAAATAGGATAGGATTATGAGAATGCGTTTTGGAAAATATTTTCTGAAAATATTTAGATTATGTTTTAACCCTTATATTTGTTAATTTAACTAAATACCACCCACAATAAAAGTTTATAAATTAACAAAAACACCCCGACCTACCCAACTATTGCCTGCAGCCGGCCACCACCGCCGGATGGTGGTCGAAAGTTGTCGAGATGGCGTACAACCGGCTAGATCTGGCCGACCGTGTGCCGATATGACTTTTTCTGGCCAAAGATCTAGCCATTGACGGTCAGATCAAACGACTTAGATTTGGTCATTTTTGCCAAGATCCATGGTGGATCTAGCCGAAAACGGACAGAATGATGCACGACTGGCCAGATCCAGTCGATCATGCATCGTTACGGTGCCAGCGTCAGGTGGTGGCAGTGACAACGGCGACAATTGCTAGTTGGTGATAGTGGCTTGGGTGGGTGGGGGCGTTTTTGTTAATTTTAAATTTTTTATTGAGAAATGTAATTGTTAAATGTTTTGAGCTGAATAAAATTGAACTAGATTTTGGGTTAAATAGAAAAATAATTATTTTATTTTCTTAGGATAGGATAGGGAAAAATAGTGTGTCAAACGCACCCATCCACATAAATTAAGTTTGATAACAATAGAGTGTACCAAAATTTCAAATCAACAAAGTATAAAAATTAAGTTAGCTGCATTGTCGATTCTTCTCATATATTGATGGAACACACATTTTGTTCATATTATTCAACAAGGAATGATAAATTCGTTGTGTAAAAAATACACACTAATGTCAATATCACCAATCAAAGTTCAACAAGCACTTAAAGATAAGATGGTATTAGTTTTCAAAAATTCAAACCGCCTCCAAGAGATATTTTATATCAATCCTCTCCCATTTTAAGATAAGGATTAAAGAGTGGTCCCCACGTGTCAAGACAACTTGTAAAAACACTCATTATATTGACCTTAAAGGTATAAATAGACATCTCTTCTCATGAAAATGAGAAGTTTGGCATATGAGAGCTGGGCATAGATTTGAGCTTCATTATTTTTTCTCTATAAAACAAAACATTTCTCCATTTTTGTATGTCTTACAAGCAATATCATAAAAATAGTCAGAAAATAATAAAATAATAGTGGATGTAGGATTCGCTTTAAACATCCGAACCACTATAAAAATCTCACTTGTCCATTTTTATTTATGTTTCATCAAACATATATCATCTCAGCATCATAAACACTTCTTATGAATCATTCACGTGTAATTTTTAAGAACAACTTAACATTTTACACGTGCGAGTTATTAGTGTCAAAATCAAGCATCAACATAATTCATCAATCATAAATGGCTCTTGTTTTTACACAAAAATGGTCCTAAATATATATGGTCTCAATGATTCACGAGTTATTAGAAATTGTCACAATTATCAATACAAAAATTTATCAAAGCAAAAACCAAAATAAACAATGTGAAAAATTTATATATTCATAGAATATACATTTTGTTCATATTATAACGTAATATATCATCCTCTATCTTCTTTAAATGTTATAACGTAATAACTAAACAAAGGTGTTAACGTTGTTTCTTTGCTTTGGGATTTGTAATTTGCCTTCAAATTATTTTGCTTTTTTTGTTTCTTATCATCAGAAGCTTTGTTGTGTTGATGACAAAATTTTGAAATATTTATTTAATTTATATTTATAGATATCTCATGGTTTTGTTTTTTATGTTTGATCTTGTTTGTGTTGATGTTGTTGTGCCAAAAATACACATTGATATCAGCACCACCAATTAGAGCTTAACAGGCACTCAAAGACAAAATGGTATTAGCTGTCAAAACTCAAACTGCCTCAAAGAGATATTTTATATCAATCCTATCTCATTTGAAGATAAGGATTAAGGAGTGGTCCTCACGTGTCAAGGTAACTTGCAAAAATACTCATTATATTGACCTCAAAAGTATAAATGGGCGCCTCTCTTCATGAAAGAGGGGGCTAGGCATATGGGGGTTGGGCATATGAGAGTTGGGCATAAATGAGAGCTTCAACCATTATTTTTTCTCTGTAAATAGAGCATTTCTCCATTTTTGTACACCTTACAGGCAATATCAGAAAAATAGCCAGAAAATAATAAAATAACAGTGGATGTAGGATTCGCTTTAAGTGTCAGAACCACTATAAAAATCTCTCTTGTCAATCTATTATTTATGTTTCTACAAACATATATAATCTCTGCACCGTAATCAACTCTCATTATCATTCACGTGTAATTTTAAGACTTCTTAACACTTTGCACTTGTGAGGTCGTTGGTGTCAAAATCACTCATTAACAGATGTAGTCTGTTGTTTTGGTTGGCAACTATAGAGTTGATTGATGAGATATGAATAATTATATATGGGAGATTTCATGAACATTTGAATTGCACAAGATTCAGGGAACTGCATTAGTCGAGCTCGCGATCGAGTTGCTCAGGCTCGCTTGAACTGTCTACAAGCTTGAGTTTGATTTCGAGCTCAAGCTCCAGTTTACTCAACTCAATGAGCTCAAGCTTGAGCTCTACATTTTTCAATTGAGTCAAGCTCGAGCCAGCCAATACTCAACTCGGCTCGGCTCGGCTCAATTGCAGCCGTAATTATTCAACAAGGAATGATAAATTTATCCATCATAAATAGCTCTTGTTTTACACAAAATTGTCCTAAATATATATGGTCCCAAATAATTTTTTTCAATAAAATGTCTAAAATTTTTATGTTGTCTCGTTCACGTGTTATTAGAAATTATCACAATTATAAATACAAATATTTATTAAAACAAAATCCAAAATGAACAACATAAAAAATTTAAAATATCCAATTTTTTACATTTTTAATATATATATATAATTCATTTTTTATAATATTTGAATAGAATAATGCTACATGCACAACCTCTTTTCACAAATTTTCTCTCACAACCCTAGCGTGACAGTTCGTACTTGGCTAGCCGTAATTTATCAAGTAAGATCCATTATAAGCTGACCAATTATGAGTTGTCATATCGAGATTGTAAGAGAAAGTTTGTGAGAAAAGATTATAGGAGTAAGATTTTTCATTTGAATAACATGGTATTAATATTATGTTATTGGACTAGACTGTTTATAATCCATGATATTGGAGGTAATTTCACTGCTTTATTCTCAGAATGTAAACAGTAACCAATGCCAAATTTCAATACCGGTCCAACAGAGTGGAATGACCCTATCATGTAGGACCTTGGATCTCGTGAAGGCGAGCAGTAGCTACAACCAACTACAACCATACACTCATATCAGACTTCTTTTAGGCTATAGCTGAATTAATATTGGACAATATCAGCTTTGTGGTACCTGGTTATCAGCTGCCCTGAAATGTGAGCACAAATGGGGAAAACCAATGAAAAAACTTTAACAGATGGCTTTAACCAAATTCAGAACACTGCTGCTTAAAGAAGCCAATGTTTCTACCTTGCTCTCTGTACCAGCTCCCACAAGAGTTTCACCAGTGCTATGTTGAATGCCCGGGATAAACTATTAAATGGGCACCTAACATTCACACAAGTAATTCAGCCTCATAAATATGTCACATAGTTTGTTACAAACCGATTTTTATAACTAACAAAAAACCTTTTGCCTGTATAGCATTGCGAGTTCTGGGAAGTATATCATGACAAATTCCTACTCCAATACAGCCCATTTCTGCATTCGACAAATGAAAGTTCATTCCTTACTATTTTGAACAATGGATAGTAAAATGCAAGAGATGCTATTTAATTTAGAAGGAAGAACGGAAAGAGATGAGATGTGCAATTGTTAGGTGAAACACAAAAGTCCTCTGAGCAAGCCTGCAGAAAATGCAAGATTCACCATAATTTACAACTAAATTTTTTTATGTGACCAAATGCAAACCTGTATCTACCATGGTTGGTCTATCTCCTGCATTGAAAATATCATATCTTTGAAAGAAATATCCCCGGGTGTCAATATCAAACAAATGGACCTGCAAAACAAGACCAATCTTGTTAATTCTTTCAAATTTTTAACCTTCTATATCTTCCTTTTCATAATTTCCTGAGATTACCATCACAG